GCGTAAATACGATCAAACATTTAAACATCGTCTATTCTTTGCTTAAAGTTTTTGAATGTGTCATTAATGTTTTAGTCAAAGATGTCAACTTATAGCTTTTACTATGATTGATTTAAATGGATATCAATAATTTGGAACTAGGCACGTTAAGTCTAATTTCTTCGACTAGTTAAAACTGTATGTTGACTACTGAGGAGTTCGCATTTCATTAGTAATATCCGTAGTTTAGTAATTCTAAGTAACTGATTTTGACTTTTAGAACATATTGAGTCATAAATAAATATTAACTGTCAAAGAAATGCATATTTTCATAGTTCAAATCACAAAATAATTTTAGCTAGACCACTATTGAAATCCTGGAATGATTGGATGGCAATGTCATTCTAATGAGAGACTCCTCCTCTCAACAAATCCCTCTAGACTATCAGCAATCATGTATTCGCTGGTGAGTAGCTGCAAAATGCAACTCATAGAGTTTTAGTGAGGATCCGTGACCAGTAGAGTTCAACCATGTCGAGTGTGAGGCAGTGATCACCCAGGAAATGGATGAAGGTTGTGCAAAATCGTAAACTTATTGAAGTTAGATGTTAAAACCGTTGAACCTCATTGTAGTCGATGGGCTAGATGCTAAGTCTACGCGGGCAAGAGTGAAGGTAATGGGCTCAATATTTCAGATTCCAGGTCATGGATGCTCACTGCTGATTAGTCTCATACAAGGACGAAACGCACGTCCAGTTCATCCGGGTTTTCATTAGTGATTCTCCATTTAAAGCATGAATGTTCTTAAATCTCCAGAAGCCTCCTTATCTCAAACTACATATTTTCAATGAAATCATGTTTTTTTTAGGAAATACTTCTTTAGCTGAATATGTTCAGATATTTGGGCGTTTATGTGGTATAACTAAGCTGCAATCTATAAATTGGGTGTATTGCCTAAAAACACATAAAATCGATATCTACAGAAATAGTTATATTATCATTTTAAAGTCCCAGTTGACCAATAGTTTTGTAGTGATCCTAATCTTATTAAGATTCAGAAATGTATTACCTATTGACAATGACAGATTATAACAAAGAATAGTAAATGTATTGAATGACCTCATGAATTTTAAAATAGAAAATTGGCTGTGATGTATTCAATATGTATAAAACTAATCCAGTAATTACACTAGTCCTCTGATCGGGTAAATTACAATGGTGCAATATAAATCATTACAGTTCTTGAGATGATGTTTTCTTTTGAACAAAATTCTAAAGCTGAAAAAGTAGTAGGTTTATCGAATTTGTTAAGGAATATTTATCTGTTTATGTTGCTAAGTCAAACGCCATAGCTTTATTCATGAAATACTTATGCTTCCGATCAAATATGTTAAGTTTTACTGGGAGTGAACAGAATGTATGAGTCAAAGGTAAATTGATATGATATTACACTTCCGTTTTACTTGAATTTTTCCTTATTGACTGTTTGAGAGTTTGGTTTATATAAGAATAAAGATAAAGACCTTTTAATGACATTAAAGTATCTTGATGAAATATGACATAGTGACGTGTTGGAGTTTAGATGATCTCTACAGTAAATGTTATATTTTCACAGTTAGGAATGTTATTGAATACTGAAAGTAAAACGCTTAAATTTATATGAACTGGAACTGTGAAGGAATACCACTATTGAGTGATTCAAGAGTTATCTTTGACAAAAAAGTCATTTTTTACATTGGTAAAAGAACTTCATTTTATTCAAGAGAAGTAGTTTTCTCTCCTGTTTGTACGTAACCAAAATACCTATAAAGAAGATCATTTTGTAGTAGAGTATAAAATTAATGGTTGTAATCACAATCAGTGTCGAGCCACCTAGACTAGTGGCCACATTGCTACTTCATCGATAGCATTTGATCAGCACTAAGAAGGACTTGACACGCATGACACTGATCACCACCCAGTGATCAATCAACTGTGATTACATCTCAGTCCTACAGGTAATCAGTCGCGGCCGGAATAGCTTAGTGGTAACGTCTTTGACTGTGAAGCGGAGTGACACGGGATCGAATCCGTCAGGGAACGCCAGTTCCCTCAACAATATAGGTTGACGTCGCTGACCAGTGACAGGTAGCATGAAACCCGGATCCAGTGTTTCCTGTTGACCGCCTCCGACCACCATCTTATGAATAATTGTCTCTAAGTTTTACTGTAAAAACTATAATATGTTGATGTTGTTGCTATTAAAAACCGAATATATTCATAATATATGAAATTGATTTTGTAGTTTTATGATGTAGATGGCATTTCATCATCATCACATTGCAAACTGAGGAACAGTAGACAAATGTTTTATCCTAGTATGGTGCACATCGACAGTACGTTTCAACTAGTCTTCCAGCAATCGAATTCGGGCGGCTTCAGTTTTTGAGGACAGGGCTTAACCATTAGAGAAATTTAGTGCATATCAAATGTGATAAGTTTTGCTGAACACAGTGGAATCCAGGACGCGCGTTTCGTCCTATTTGAGACTTGTCAGCAGGATGTACCTGCATCTCAGAGTTGATGTTTACTCTGGAACTCGAAGCCAGTACCCTCGCATCAAACGCCATCGCGTTATCCACTCAGCTACTGAGTCATGATAGCCACTTGTTTGTGCGATGGGGTGAAGTTTAAATTCATTCAGTATTGTTTGTTTGAATCTTCCCATCGATTTGTTAGGACTGCAACTGGTCAGTCTGTAGTTGGCATATGTGCATCCTGTGCGGACTGCCTTGATATTGCCTGAAGTCACAAGCTTTATAAGCAATAATGGATAGTGGCTAGCAGTGGAATCCAGTTTCGTCGCGTTTCGTCCTATTCAGGACTCATCAGCTGGATATACCTGCATGTCAGAGATGATGTTTACTCTGGGACTCGAACCCAGTATCTTTCGCTTCAAACGCCATCGCCTTATCCACTTAGCTACTGATTTGCCTCTCGACCTAATTGCCGGAAATTTATTTGACAAATACATTGTTGTTACCTTATAAAGGGTATATATAAAGGAACTATCCATTAAAACAGTTTACTTATATATATATTATTGTTCACAATGTAATCCATTTTAATTTACATCTGGTTAATAAACAATTTTGTTATTGAAACATTAGCACGTGTATAAGGCTTAACGAAAATATGATGTTTACTAAAACACATATATCATATGTATCTTGTATATATATAGATATGCATAGTAACTGAATAGAAATATGTAACATAAACATATTTAACATAAAAAACTATTGAATATCGAATGTTATAGTTTGTTTAAAGTGTAATTTTGGTTTCTGTTTATTAATTAAAAATTCGATTAAGACGTAATATGAACTACTAATCGAAATGGTATTGAATAAGGTGAATAATGTTAACATGTTATGTTGTATACTACTGTTGTCAACAAATATAAGTAGTATATATCACCAATTGAAAGTGTAATGCTTGATGGGAGAAAATTAAGAAAATCAAAGAAAAAAGAAAGAGAATAAATGTGAAAACGAAGGAACAATCAGGTTTGAGACAATTGATCGACATTTTGTAAATGATGTATTTACTGTATGGATCTCAGATTTTACTAAGAGATTTTGTAATCTTGTATTGAAATATATTCGATTGTCCCCAATTGTGTTCTCGGTCACTACAATATTATTTACATTACTATTCAATAACAATTCTGTTTGATCAATTTCAAAATTAATTTGAATCCCAAAACTCAAATTAAAAAAAGAAGCAATGATAAAAGTAAAATTTTTTTACTTACTTACTGTTACCCCTCGTGGAGGAGCATGGGTCGCTCATCAGCATTCTCTGTCCACCCTTGTCCTGTACAATCCTTTCCAGTTCTTTCCAGTTAGCATTCATCCTTTTCATATCTGCTTCCATTTCTCAATAAATTGTGTTCTTTGGTCTTCCTCTTTTTCGCTTCACTATAACATTCCAAGTTAACGCTTGCCTCGTGATCCAGTTTGGTGATTTCCTCAATGTATGTCCGATCCACTTCCAACGTCTTTTCCTAATTTCCTCTACATCTGGAAGCTGATTTGTCCTCTCCGATAAAACGCTGTTGCTGATGATATCTGACCAGTGAATGTTAAGTGTTTTGCGTAGACAAGTGTTTATAAATATTTGTACCTTCTTGACGATGATTGTAGTAGTTGTCCACGTTTCAGCTGCGTACAGTAAGACTGACCGTCTTGACATTCGTATTGAAAAATCTTAATTTGATATTAATAGACAGTTGTTTTGAGTTTCATGTGTCCTTGATTTGCCAAGCCTCACCTTTACATCTTCATCCGATCCTCCTTGTTTATTGATGATGCTTCCCAGGTACGTGAATGTTTCCACCTCTTTCAGAGTTCCGCCATCAAGTGTGATTGGGTTGGGGTTCTCCGTGTTGTATTTGAGAATCTTGCTTTTACCTTTGTGAATGTTGAAGCCTATTGATGCAGAGATTGCTGCTATATTTGTTGTCTTTGTCTGTGTTTGTTCGTGTGTATGAGAGAGGAGGGCTAGGTCATCTGGGAAGTTCTAATCATTTAATTAATTCTGAGATGTCCACCCCCACCACGAGGGGTGTTGTTTACAAACTTGAGATAGATTAGATTCAGAAGCAATCATTACTCAGAGCATTTTAGTCATCAAGTTATACTTACTGTAGTATTAACAATTATGTTTAAAGTATCTCCTAAGTATAAAAATCTTATTTCATTTCACTGTACATAAATTAAACATTATTATGCACTACATTACCTTACAATTTTACTTCACAGTAGTCAAATACATTTGATCATGTATTTTGATAATTAAATGTACAAAACATATTCCCTCTGTACTTATTAGTAAATGAGTATGTATAACAAATAGGTATTTACTATTTGTACTATATTATCATACAGACAATACTGAAAAACCAAGATGATGAAATAAAGCAGTTTTATTGGCTTGATTAGGACAGTTTCATTTTCATCAAAACTATTTAGTGAAGTATGCAATGTGTTAAAAACATCTCAGCTTCAAGTCATAACTTGTAAGTAGTGTTAAAAGTAGAGATTTTTTGAAATTTTAAAACGAAAGTATTTCTGTCACATAACATTTTTTTTAGCCTAATGTTACTTTTTTCAAGTATCTGATAAACTATCAAAGTTGTGTAACAATTACATGAAGCATTCAAGGGTCATAGAGAAAAAGAATAACCAGATTGTATATTGCATTCGTGATAAAAATAGGGTAATATTTATTTTAACTCCGCTTGTAGCTCCTCTGGGGGTTATTGCCGGCCCCAAGCCCGGATAAATGAGGAGGGTTGGACATGGGGTTAGCGACCCAATCCCGTAGAAAACAAACTCGCTTCAACAACGCTAACCAGAAAAATTAAGTAAGTATTTATTTTGTCGTATGGATTTGACTTAATTTTACATCCTAATAGTTTGAATCAATCACTGTGAACACTAAATGTTACATTTTTGGCTGGAGTATTGGAAGACAACTCTGAGATGCAGGTACATCCAGCTGACTAGTCCCAAATAGAACGAAACGGGCGTCAAACTGGATTCCACTGCTAGCCACTATCCATCACTGCTTACCATGCTTGTAAATTAAGGCTATATCGAGCCAATACTCACAGTATGCACATATGCCAACTAGAGACTGACCAGTTGCAGTCCTAACAAATCGATGGGAAGATTCAAACAAACAATACTGAATGAATTTAAACTTCACTTCATCGCACAAACAAGTGGCTATCAGGACTCAGTGGCCAAGTGGATAACGCGATGGCGTTTGAAGCGAGGGTACTGGCTTCGAGTTTCAGAGTGAACATCAACTCTGAGATGCAGGTACATCCAGCTGACAAGTCCCAAATAGGACGAAACGCGTGTCCTGGATTCCACTGCTAGCCGCTATCCATCTCTGCTAACTATTATTAATAATGATAAATGTGAATCGTCAGGGGAACTACTTCTGAACGTCTACATAAATTTGATTCTGAAGTTCCTTATTATTAACTTGAACGCTTACAATTTTCCATATATTTGAAGAAAGTCAAGCCATCTGTACGATGCCATCGAATTAAAAGATTCGGAAGTATAAGTACTCGGACAACACGCAACAGTGTTTTTAATATTAAAAAAAATAGGGAATGCGTGAACTTCACATACTTGAGTATTGTCAGCCTATAGTGCTATTATTACTTGAAATGTCTATATAAAGCTACTGCACTGGCTGGCCCTATGTCAGGCCCACATAGTTTACTCTAGCTTCTAGACAAACTAATTTATTCATTCTTCTCAAGATACATTTTGATCTTGTCACTTATTCGCTTATTAATCCTGACCTTTTTTATATGATAGTGTGTGTGTATTGCTTACCCTGTTCGTCACATGTCTGTAACTTATTTTTGTCTGACCATAAATATCGATTCATGCTTGGTTAGATTCAGTTGACTCACCTTCTCCAACGCGTATCATTTCATTTTGCCTCTCCCTTTTCTCTTCACTTTCTTTGCTTCGTTCCCTTGATCGTCTGCCTGGATCAATGATTGTATAAAATATACGTATTCGAAATCCATTCTCTTATTTGAATTATTTAATTCCCTTATTCACTAACGCGATCTAAGTCGATAATTATATGCGAGAATTGACAGTATATATGTTTCTTTAGCAATCAACAAAAGATCATCATCATCATCATCATCATCATCATCATCATCATCATCATCATCATCATCATCATCATCATCATCATCATCATCATCATCATCATCATCATCATCATCATCATCATCATCATCATCATCATCATCATCATCATCATCATCATCATCATCATCATCATCATCATCATCATCATCATCATCATCATCATCATCATCATCATCATCATCATCATCATCATCATCATCATCATCATCATCATCATCATCATCATCATCATCATCATCATCATCATCATCATCATCATCATCATCATCATCATCATCATCATCATCATCATCATCATCATCATCATCATCATCATCATCATCATCATCATCATCATCATCATCATCATCATCATCATCATCATCATCATCATCATCATCATCATCATCATCATCATCATCATCATCATCATCATCATCATCATCATCATCATCATCATCATCATCATCATCATCATCATCATCATCATCATCATCATCATCATCATCATCATCATCATCATCATCATCATCATCATCATCATCATCTTATTGCAATAGGTATTTTTGTACCACTAATAATATGACACGATACACGAGGAATTTAATTTAAACTGTCGCGTTACTAATGCATTACAGGACATTTAGATGTTTCTGACATCATCTTTGTTTTATTTTTGTAACTATTGTCTCCATTGCTGATATTATTATTTTATATCATACTATTAGGATGTTTTTGTCTAATACAAGACAACGATATCTCTTCTGTAGAGTCGACAAAACTTTTATTGTGTTTCTCCTAAGTTTACTAAATTAATGTCTCCTGTAGTTGTAGTTTTCATTTGATTATGTAATAATAAGTTTGGAAAACAAAATGTAGACAGTAGAATTTATTATTGTTATAAAGTAAAGAGACAATAAAATAAGGAATAGAATCCTGATTAGACTAATTGTTTAGAAACATACAAAAAGCTCTTGACAAATTTGCATGAAAATGTGTAATAAATAAATGAGAACTGCTGTAGATATTCATTGAAAACCTGAAAGCACTTGACATTCGTCTCGTTCTAGTATGAGGCTTCTAAGCAATGTGCATCGACGATTCCTCACGTGCAACTCGAACCTAGGACCTTTAGTCTCGCGCACGAACGCCTAAACTCTAGACCATTATGAAATTTCTCAATGAGTGTTTGTTGAAAGTTAGTTAATGAATAACGTATGATGTTGGCGTATCTTCAGAACTACTTCTAGAGCAAATTTATGGTTATAACATAAAACTTAAAATTCGGAAGGTGAACATATTTTTAAAGCTCTTTTTTGTAATAAGCCTAAAGAAGCATATTTTAATCATCAAACTATCTCCTTTAGGTAGCATTAAATTATGAAATGAGAATTATAGAAACCCAGTTACTCATTACAAATGGTCTTAGAAGACTAATTTACATCAATTCTAGATAAACATCTAATTTAATAAATGAACTAACTGTAAGCCTTTTGTCCTCATTGTATACATAAAATTAAATATTAAATTTACAAAAAATTTCTAAAAACAGGAACTTTAAGTTAAATATTTGTTATATCTCGTGGAGATTTATGAATGGTAACTTTGAGGATTCTTTATGGACCAATATGATAAGTATATTTCTTATTGTATAATTGTTAGGTATTTAATCTATTCATATTCGTGTTCCTCTTATCATGAGCTTTATTATGACCTATGAACTATTATTATAGGATTTACCATTCTTGAGTTATCCCAAGTCTATTGATTACTGTTCCTCCTATTCACAGACACATTTGGCCAAATTTTGTACAAATGTTATATTCTATTTTATGATACAATGTGGTCAGTTTGTTTGATATATAAACCCAGTATGTTTGAGATTAATGATTCATATTGGAGAAGCTGTAATTGGTGTTGTGGACTTAACTGGCTGGGTTAGACAGATAGCAGGACTGATAAGTACTCAAGACTGCTCATACGGCTTTCTCATATCATTGCTCTGATCGATAATTCACTCCTCTCTAATAGGCAGGGATCATCAATTCATATATCAAACAGGGCAGACGTACACACGCAGACGATATAAGAATATTATTCAGTAAAAGGAAAAGGATAAGTTTATTTTCTAAAAGATTATATTTATAGTTAAATAGAAGCGTTTTTTAGTGAATTAGTTTTCTACGGGATTGGATCGTTAACCCTATGCCCAACCCTGCTCCTTTATTCGGGCTTAGGACCAGCAGTAGCCCTCAGAGGAGCTACAGACGGAGTTATTTTTGAGTAGAAACAATAATATTAATTCTTGTACAATTTACACAGTTACGTTCTCATTATATGAATACAATGAATATGAGTAAAAGTAATTTGCTTTTCTTTTCTTTAATAAAAAACAAAAAGAATGTTCATTTAGAATCCAGAATTAAAAGCAAAAAAAAAGTTATTTAGTTTAAGTAACTTTGTTTAATTTCTCATTATTATTTAATTATGAATTGTGTAAATTCATTATATTTGATCATTGGATAGTGGCCCAGAGGTTAAGCGCTCGCGCACGAAACTGAAAGATCCTGGGTTCGAACCTCGCCAGGTGAGATCGTAGATGCGCATTGCTGAGGAGTTCCACAATAGGACGAAACGGTCGTCCAGTGCTTCCAAATTTTCCATCGTTGTCTAACTTCAATGGACTCATGATTTCAACTATATAAAATTACTAAAATCTCCACAAACCCCCTTTTCTGATAAATTCATTACTTTGATTCTTTTTTACTGTATTTGTTCTTTCTTTCTGTTTGTTTTTGAAAACAGCGAACTGAAGTAAATTTACATTGTTTATTTCATATTATCTTATTTTCTTTATTATTATTATTATTATTATTATTATTATTATTATTATTGCTTGCTTGTTTTCTACATTTTCCATTGTCATCTCAATACATATACAAACATATCATTATATAAACGTATTTACATCGATAATGAAGAATGTACATGTGTGTTTATCATGTGGATAAATAGATTCGCGAACTTTAGCTACATCAAATGTTTCCCTTTTTTATTTCATTCATTTCAAATAACGTCCTTCTTTTTGTTGTTGTTGAATGTTTGTTGTGATAAACCAGTTGATGTTTAACCATACACGAATATATAAGAACTTTCATCTGAATTAAAGCGAATAGTTTCACAGTATTTCGGCGCCGAGTTGATGTAAGATATGAAATAGGAAGAATATGTATTTGTTAAATCTTAGCAAATGAATATGAAGTAAATCCAACGTTTTGCCTGGCAATCTGATTCAAGCTTTTTCAAGGAAATATCATTCGCTAAGATTTTCTTATTTAATGACACACACGAATAATTTGAAAATAGTAGTAAATTGAACGAAAGCTTAGAAATAATTCAAAGGGAAGACTGACCAAATTATCTTTGCGTCCTAACATTCTAAACTATACATATTATACATAGAAAACTAATATCTCATTTTATTGGGATGATGACTTAAGTTATTAGATTCGAATTACTATGGCGTGGATATAATGAAATATAATAGGATCCTAGACTATAATATGATTTGATCTAACAGTTTCAAGTTTTAGGATTATATTACTGTTATGCTTTTCTCTATAGGTAAACAAAAATACTTAGGAAAATGAACAAAGGAATATGCTCATAACATTACTTGTTTTGGTGGAATACTTAAATAAACCTACTTACTTACTTACGCCTGTTACTCCTCGTTGAGGAGCATAGGCCGCTCACCAGCATTCTACATCCAACTCTGTCATGAGCCTTCCTTTCCAGTTCTTTACAGTTAACATTCATCTTTTTCATATCTGCTTCTATTTCCCGGTGTAATGTGTTCTTTGGCCTTCCTCTTTTCTGCTTCCCTTTCGGATTCCAAGTTAGGGATTGAGTCGTGATGCACATTGGTGATTTCTTTAATGTATATCCTATCCACTTTCAACGTCTTTTCCTAATTTCCTCTACATCTGGAAGCTGGTTTGTCTTCTCACACAGTAGGCTGTTGCTGATGGTATCCGATCAGTGAATGTTGAGTATTTTTTGTAGACAACTGTTTATAAATACTTGTACCTTCTTGACGATGGATGTAGTAGTTCTCCATGTTTCAGCTCTATATAGTAGAACTGTCTTGACGTTCGCATTAAAAATTCTGACTTTGAAATTAGTTGACAATTGTTTTGAGTTCCATTAAACTCTGCCTGTAGCTCTTCTAGGGCTACTGCCAGTCCCAAGCCCGGGTAAAGGAGGAGGGTCGGGCATGGGGTTAGCGACCCCATCCCGTAGAAAGGCTAACTGGCTAAAAAAAACGCCAACCAGGAAAAAATAATTAAATAAACGAACTATATAAAATGTTGGTTTCTTAAAATATGAAATATTTCAAATGCAATGAACATGTGTTAGATGGTTTGAAGTAATTAGTTGTAATCTATGAACAAAGGTTAGGCACTGTTTGACATTGGTTCCCACTTGGTAATCAATGTAAAAAAAACACTTAAAAATGCAGAAAATCAGTTGAGTCTCGGATAGATCACTTGTAACCTTTCTCACTAACAGTCATTAATTCTAGTTTGAGTTTCATGATCAACATCAATTACCTTAAATATGTATTGTCATGATATGTGTGAACCAGCATCATACCTGGTTCCAGGGTATCTTGCTGACTCCACTTAGTCGTCTGACATATAGTTTTATTTTATATGTTATTTACTGAAGTCTCTCAAAATAAAATCATGTTCTTTTGTCTAGAACAATATCAAAATAATATTCTGTAGCTTATTTTGAAAGCTTGATATCACTAAGTTAGATCAACAGTTGTATTTGAAAAATACTTTGTTACGTTATTTAAAGTTCACAATAAAACTCTTCAAGGAGTTATAAAGTCATGTGTTACCTGTATCATGTAAAGTTTATTTATAAAACATTAATATTCATTAGGTTACCAAATTATATGATGAATTGTCATATACTATAATAAAATACAAAAAATAACTTGGGAATGTGTGCTTTTCTTGAAAATCCTATGCCACTTTTTGCTTTGGAGATTAAAACACTTCTCTGAGATTATAGTTTTTACGACTATATAATAAATAAATAACATTTTAAGAATAACTGTAGAATGCATACTACCTGAAACATGTGATTAGATTGATATAGAGATCAATGTTACATATTAAGCATAATTATATTTAAAGTTGAATTGTTTGAATAGACGTGGTCAACAAATTGTTGTGAGAGAACATTAGTCACAAGGATTATACTAATGGGAGGGAGTAGTTAAGAACCAGTAATTTTTAGTAGGGCAACAGGATTATGTCGCTGAAGTATCTATAGTTTACTTAAGAGCAATTCAAGCGCCATTACAAAGTAATCATAATTATTTTCAGCATGAAAAAATAAAACGAAAATCGAGAGCGAAAAACAACATTAGTAAAAGTTTTTGTTATAAGTCTGACAAAATACAAGTCCCTAGTTGTTTTATCTTCTACTAGTTTGGATATATATTATTGAAATTGTTTATATTAACTGTAAAATATCATCAACAATGGAAGTTTAGCAAATATAATCAAAAATAACCACAATTAAACATTATGTTA